GACCTCCTGCGGGATGTTCTTCGGGACATCCTGCAATCAGTGCAGATCCTCAGCAGCCAATCCGAGGCGCGGAGCCTTGGATCCTTGGATCCTTGGGTCTCTGCAGGGCGAATCCATCCATCTCTGAGGCCTTCAGAAAGGGCAACCCATTCGCCTGGTTCAGAACATTTCGGGGGCAGTCCGCCGATCCAAGCTCCAAGCAACAGATGGGTAGGTGCAACCCGCTTGGAGCAGCGACGGTTTGAACCCGTTGGCAGAGGCCTCTCTTGGTTTGATGGAGATAGCAAGGCCTGCGTAAACGTTCGCGGCCGTTTTGACATAAGCACAAGTCAAGGGCTCTGGGTGAATTCTGGGCTCAGTGGGAACGTCAACCATGATTCCTGAGGCTCTTCTTGAATTGTATGGAACGCATGAGATGCATTCAGTGCGCATGTATGCCAGGCTGTGCGGGAAGAATTGTACTGGTGCCTCTACAACAGCAGCCTATTGGTGATGCGCCTGTGTCCCAGTACAATGGGCAACTCGCAGCCGATCTTCGTGGGGATTCACTTGGCCATTGGCTGCAGAACCTATTGCGATCCCATTTTGGGGTGGATGAAAATCCATTTGCCACCTATTTTGATGTTCACCAGGGGTACAGGGTTTTGACCCACAGCCACTTAGATGCCTTTTGTTTTTGAGAACAAGAGGGTAAAACGGGGCAGTCCCAACCAGCCGTAGACGAGTGGTATCATTGTCGCTTGCTCAAATGGCCAGGTTCTCTCCTCTCATGCCTGATGGATTTCTTGCCGTGCGTTTCGCAATATGGCGAAGGCTTTGGCAGCAATGCACACCATACACTGATCAACTTGCGCATGGTTTGTTTCCAAAGAACTAGATAGGTCAACTTGCTTTCGAGAAAAACAACAAAAAACATAAAACACCTGCGCAGGTCAAGTTGCGCAGAGCTAACCTCCGAGAAGTAGACTGACTATGTAGACAAACCAGCAGATTATGCAGAGAACGTGCACGGAAAGATTGCGCAGAGCGGATGCACTCGGGAATCGCGTCAAGAGAATGGGCAGAGATTGGAAGAAGAGACAGTGCAGACATTTTTTTTTTTTTTTTTTTTTTTTTTTATCAGAAAGACTGCACTGACGCACTTGCATGGCCTTTGCTTGAACACAATGCTTGCGCATCACGCTTACAAAAGCTGCTTGCACCTGGTTTTCCTTTTGGTATCCTTGTGAACCAACCCCCAACATGATCTCAGCACACAGAACACTCACATCAGAAAGTTTCTCTTTGGAGGGATCGCCGTGTTTTTTTGGGGCTGTTTCAAGGGTGGTACCCGCTGGACAGCCTGCTCATTGAAAGTCTGCCCGAGGCATCGCCCGGTGGCTGCGGCTTCATGGCTTCGGCGGGATCTGCGTGCAGCCGCTGTGGCTGTCCACGCCTCAGATCTCTCGACCTGCCAATTCGGCGGTCCAGCGGCGCTGTTTGGAGCGGGAAGAAGAAGGCGACCGCTTTGGCCACATGGAGTTGTGCCTGGAGTCTTCTTTTTTTTAGGTGGTTGTTTTTTGGGGGAAGGCAAACCAAGAGAAAAGATCCGATGAAATGAAAGGGGACCAAAAGATAATTCGAGAAGCCGCCGAAGTGGGGGACTCTTTGTTGGTTGGTTGCTCGGGAAGCGGCTGGAAGCTTTGGGGTCTCTGCCTAGCTGTAGAGCGGCAGGGCTCTGTTGGGATATCACTTGGGGCTTATGTTTGTCGGTGGGTCCCTTTGTTGGACTTACATGGGGATTATTTGAGTCCACCCACCCCTTTCCATGGTGTTCCCATCATGGCCAAATGGATTGAAGGCAGCGGAAGAAAAGCCCGCCCAAGACATGGCGATAGAGAGCTAAGAAGTCGGCGTCGCTGCCTTGCCATCAATCCTAGCAGTGATGTGTAGAGCCAGTTGCGCAATTCCTTTTTTCGAGCGCTCTGGATGTGAATCCTGCTTGCCCCTTTTTGGGCACATCTTATTTGGGTGCGGGACTCTCTCTCTCTGTCTCTCTCTCTCGCTCTCTATCTCTATCTCTATCTCTATCTCTATCTCTGTCTCTGTCTCTATCTCCATCTCCATCTCCATCTCCATCTCCATCTCTATCTCGCTCTCTCTCTCTCTCTCTCTCTCTCTCTCTCTCTCTCTCTCTCTGTCTCCCTCTTTCTTTCTTCTTCTTATGCTCTTTTATATTTTCCTCTGTTTTTTTCTTTCTTGCTCGCTTGCTGCGGGTGGCTGGGCTGCGTGCGGTTTTTGCGCCCGAAATGAGGTTGGTCGAGTCCATGCAGACGTGCCTGCCCCTCATGGGGGTGCACATGATCCCCTTCCGCGCTCGCCTGATGATGGAGCGGGGGTTGCCAGGTTGCCGGGCTTGGGCCGAAAGGGAGGGCCTCGACACATTTCTGGTTGCGGGGTACTTTCCCAGTTCAACGGTTCCCGTTCTCGAGGAGGGTTTCCAGAGCTTGGGACAAAAAGGAGGGCCTCACATTGCGGGTTGCTTTGTGCTTTCCAGTACCGATTCCCGTTCTCAACGGCATAACTAGTTGGGCGTGTGGCTTGAGCCCGGCGGCTGGGAGAGGGCGCTGCAACTAACGACGCGCTAAGCTTACGTCCCCCAAACCGCTGGCCTATCTTTGGCTTGGCCCAGCCGGACTCAGGAGTTGTGCCGTGTGTTTTTGGTCAGTCTCGCCTACGGCTCGGAAGGTCTCGTAGACGGCCGGCTCTGAGGGTGGAGACTGTTCGGCCCTTTAGGCGTCGGTTGGCCCCCGGTGAGGCAGTTGCCGCAACCGAGGGCAACGTCCTAGAATCGCGGCATGTGTTGTGACAAGAGGCCCAGGGAAGACCAGACATGTCAGTGGTTTAGCTTGGTTTGCAAGAACGCCAGGCCTTTGAAAAACGACGCCGCTCCAAGCCACCGGTTTTTTGCACCTGACAGGAGCTCGCCTATTGTGCGGAGTCCGGCAAGCAGCTGGGGGAAGCCAAGCGCGCGCCTGGCACGGCATCGAATGGGATCAGAGAGAGGGGGGCCCTTTGCGGCTTTTCTGGTCTTGTGCCGGCTTGAACTGAGGCAAAAGGGCAGGAAAGGATCGAGCATTGATTGGGGTTGGTGGGCGTGACATCCTTGTTCTTGTGCTTGAACTGGGGCCAGAAAAGAAAGGAGCAGGACAAGAATCGGGGAGATCATATGCCGGATTGTGAGGGTTGGGACCCCGCTTTCTGGCCTTTCTCCGTTTCTTTTCACTCACTTTTCCTTCATCCACATGTGTGTGGGTCAAAATTGAACCACCACCAAAAAAACCCAGGATGAATAATAATTGGTTCCATTTACCTTTGGGTTGCATTTTGGGTACCCATTTCTGACCACCACGGCCACCTGGTGACCCGTGCCCGAAGCGCGCGTGCGAAGCGCGCGGCTCGCCAGGAGTCTGCGACGTGGCGGAGGCGCACTTCGAAAAGGCGAAGAAGTTGGAGACCATGCTGCCGGCGCCTCAGAGATTTTGTTTTGGGGGGCTTTCCATCTGGCGGCTCAAAAAAGCAGAATTCCAACATGGCGCCTTGGTAAATGAAAGACTAAAACACGCGGTTTGCCCCAGGTGATTATGATTAATTTTGAGCCATAGCCATCTAACCCAGTAAAGGTTTTCAACTTTTAGGGGGGGATCTGAGGACAGCCCAGTTTTTAGGGGCTCCCCAGTTCGACGGTTTTCAAGGGAACCAAAAGGCTGCTTTTTTTTTTTCTCCAACAGCTGAAGCTTTGGGGTCTCAGCCCAGATAGGCTCCGGGGTGGTCCGGGGCGGCCCTGAGGTAAGGTTCCACCAGGGTTCCACCAGGATTCCACCAGGGCCCCGAAAGGGAAAACCAAACCCAAAAAACTCAAAAACAACACACGTTTTTGGGTTTGGTTTCCCTTGCGGTTTCCTTGTAGAACCACAAAAGAGGGGTAGCCTGGAAAAAGGACAGACCACTTTTTGCAGCTGAAGGATGCGAGAGAAACACGAGAAGGACATTAGCCATGAGGGTTTCGTTGCAGGACGCATTCGTTTGGGTGTTGCACCTGGTTCGTCGGGCCCCCGCCTCTTTCTGGTGAAGGACCCTCTTTGCTTCCCTCAGATCAGTTGAGCCATCTTCAATGCCTCCAAGCAAGGCCTTGGATATGTCACCCAAAATCTCGCGCGGATTCTCTTGGAGCGCCGGAGCAGGCTTGGCTTCATGTAGCACATATTTTGACGTAGGGCCTGGAAATGCTTGAAACTTGCTAACATGGTTGTCGTTGGTTGAAACATTTCCCATTTTTGGCTCTTGTGGTTTAGTGGTTGACATCCAAATCCACTGAACTGCTAAAATTTTAGAACTTTTGCTCCCCTTCCAACATCAACAAAGGAACAGTGTGCTATTTTTCCTCCCTGACCAACTCTGGTCTGGGAAATATTGGCCCATTCTTGGGTTTTCCATTGAAGATAAACCCAGAGACCCCCAAGGTCAACCCAGAGACTTTCAAGGCCCCAAGGCAGGAGAACCCTTCGGCGTCTGAAGGCCGCCGGTGCCCGCGGAGACCCTGCAGGTCTTCGAGGCGCGGAGTGCAGCGCGCTCCAGGCTCTGCTCGTTGCGAGGTCTCTTTTTGGGGTCGTGCCGTGTTTTTCTGGGGTGAGTTGAAAGGACGTTTTTTTTTCTTCATTTTTTTACTTTTACCCCTGGCGCTCCAACGCTGGGGTGACAAGAGAGGAGTTTTTTTTTCCCCTGGCGCCCCAACTCTGGGCAAGTTCTCGACTGGAAGGGGGGGTTTGAACAGTTGTTTGAGAGACCTTCCTATTGGAGGTTGGAACATGCTGAGACGCCTTGCTAGGGTCGACGCTTGCCTTGTGCTGGGCAAACCTTCTTGGCTCGACAGCATAGATCTCTGAGCAAAGGTGGGGCAAGAGAGATCACCGGATGCAATAGCCCAGTTGGGGTGCCAACATCATACCAGAACAAGAGCAATCCAAGTCACAGAATCCTACGACATCGGCGTGAGCGTGTAGATGGTCACGTGAAGCTCTGCCGCTCGCCAGACATGGACATGGACGTGTTTAAAGAGGCTTGAGCCGTGCCACCTCTGGGCCAATTTGGCTTAATTGGGCTTTGCCTTTAGAATAGGGACCCGTAAATCCCACAGAGAGGATCAAAGGACTAGATGTCCACAGGCAGTGGGCCGATGGAGGGGCGCCTGGAAGGTTCTTTGAGCGTTTGGCCGCACCTCTCTAGTGCTTTTGAGGTTCAATGACTAAGTAGACAGACGGTGTTGATCAATGCAACGCCGGTGGCAAGAGCTAGCTGGTGCTAAGGGAGCTTTCACCGGGTTGCCGACCAAGCTCAGACCGGAGTAGAGTGGTCAAGGCATCAAGACCTCAAGGTTTTTTCAAGGGAATAGGGAGACAAGATGATACGAGTCACCTGGTTTGCGAGGTGTTCCGACGCATTGCTGAGAGCCTTTCCGCAGTGGTGAACAAGGGCAGAGGTACACTTCACCTCCTGCCCACTGGGGTTGGATTATTATTCTTTGAGAACCTGCACCAGTCAGGTGCTTTACCCATAAGAGTTTCATCCATCCCAAGTGCAGGAGTTTGCGATCCACACAGGTTTCCTTTTTTTCTTCAATGTTTGCTGCTCAGCCCAGGCATGTGTGGCTGCTTGGCTTGCACTAGCGACCGCTGGTCCTCCGATTTGCGCACGGTTTCCATTTGGGCATGTCTTTTATTAGGAGACCACTCAGAATGGTGGCTTTCCTTTTGATTTCCCTTTTGAACCGCACGAAAAGGGGGACCCTCAAAAAGGACAGACCCATTTGGGGCAAATGGGTGACATCAACCCTTACAACTAAAAGAGTTCTTTTTTCCCGGCCTTCGCGGACAATTCGGGAATTGGGAGGGCGGGGCAATTGAGGGCCTGCAGATGTCTCACGACGGAGGCCGCCCGGGGAGTGTGCGGTTGGGAGGGAGGAGTTGGCGGCGAAAAATCCGTCTCCCGCCGGCGGAAGATGTTGAAAGCAGTACCCAACCAGGAAGCCGATACCCAGATTTCGGGGGCGGTTTTCGGGCTGTTTTGCCTGAGGTGTTTGGCGAGATCTGAAGCAAGAATGCACTTGTGGAGCTGTTGGGTATGTGGCTGTGGGTCAAAGCCCTGTAGCCCTGGTGAGCCTCAAAATAGGTGGCAAATGGATCCACCCCGAAATGGAGCCATAGGTTATGCCGCATGGCCATGTGTCAGGAGCCTTCCTTGCGAAGAAGTTTTGGAGGGCAAACTTGGGTCTACACCGATTTAATTCGTGGTGGGGGGGTGTGAGTTTGGAGTTTCAAGCATCACCTCGGGTTTTTGAAAGAGGTGCCCAAACAATCGGGGACCCCGCAAAAAGAGCATTCGTATTTTTTTTGGATGTCATCCCTTGGCTGCGGGGGGTTGCTTGGCATTCGTTGATGTAAACTATTTTGTCCATGGTTCCAATGTTTGAAGCACACTCATTTGGCCGCTTTGCTCTGTACCAAGTCCATTCGCCGTGCGCCGAGAAACATGGCCTTTGGTTGGGCTAAGTCTGGCACTGGCGACACGCGCTGGTTGGTTCTTCAGCAAGGGACCACGAGGAATGTTGGTGGAGCACTTTTCGCGCAGTGTCAACCGGTTAGTTCAGCCGTCCCTGGGTGAGGATTCAGTACGCTTCGGGGTACGGTTGAGGCCTGACCGACTTGTTGTATCTCCTTTGGACCAGGGGAACACAAAAAGCGAAACAAATAAATGCAACCGCGACCCCTTGATGCATCTTGAGAAAATTCCAGACTGAGCAAATGGCCGCTTGAGATATACGGGACCCACCGATTGAGAAAGGCGCCGATATTTGGGCGGTTCTTTGACCCTGGGGTTCCAAACCATTTACCGTTCAGTTTCAGGTAAATTGGTGCTAAACAATGGTGAACAACCTAATGGAATATGGTAAAGGTTGATTTGGTTGATTAGGTTGATTAGGTTGATTAGGTTGATTAGGTTGATTTGGTTACTGCCTACATGCTGATTGAAGCTCCTTTTGATCAACCGGGTCAACGGTTGCTCGAAATAATTGTTGGCTAATACGGGTCGAAATTAAGCAAGAGGACAAAGGAAAGCTGGCTTCAGTCTTTTCCAGGTAGCAGGGCAACATATTTTGGCGGTTAACTCTACTTTTGGGGACCCACAGCCCATATTTTCTATAACCCCCCCAGTAAACTTTTTTTATTATTCTTCTTTCGTTTCGCATTTTTTTGTTTCCGCTGCCACGCCGTTTTTCTTTTTCTTTCCGGAGGTCCAGAGCTGGACTTGGATGCCCTCGGGGAGAGGCGGCGAACACGAGAATCGGCCGTGGTGTTGGTAAAGGCGACCTGGCACTAAACGCACGAGTGCCTCTGCTGAGGTGGGGTTCTCCGTTGATTCTTAGCATTTGTTGGGAGAGAAAGTGCTTTTCCGTTCTTTTTTTTGGGGGGGCGGACTTTCCCGACTTTTTCTGGGATCTTTGATCTCAAGCAAGGGGTAGCTGAGCTACCCCTTGCTTGCGGGTGAAAGAAAGAGAAAGAGAGAAAGAGAAAGAGAAACGAAGGGAGAGGGAGAGAGAGAGACAGAGAGAGAGAGAGCGAGGGGAAGGAGAGAGAGAGAGGGGTTGCATGGCCTTCTCAGAGCCTTAGGGCAGAAGGCTTTAGGGGACGCCCCAGCCATCAAACCGTGACTGAAATGTCGGAGTCAATGGATACTTCTTGGTGGCCCCCAGCCATCCGGATCGCACTGATCACAGTTCCCCTCTTAGGACATTGTTCCATATGGTGATTCCTCTGAATGTCCTCTGGGCCAGCTCGTGCAACTCGGCCAGGATCCGTGCCATCTTTGATCGTTTCGACAAGGCAGGGGCAGCATCGCTGCATCGCTTCGAAGCATCGGAGATGCGCGAAATCGGCACGAGGCGGTCCCATGTTCAATTTATAATCAGGTCTCCTCCCCATCCGGGACGCTTGGGCCCCAATGTCGGCACGATTTGATGAAGTAGTGTTTTTTCCTTACCCAAGTATTTGACAAAGCCCAGGTTCATTCTGGGGAATTCCCTTCGGTAGAGGATTGCCTATAGATGACCTTGTGAACTTCCATTCACCGGGGAGTTTGATCTAGGGCCAGGTTCTGCTGGTCGCCCAGCCGCGCCAATGGCCCCTTTCCACCAGGCCGCACGAAGGGGTAGATCGCCTTTTTGGGGGAACCCGAGCTGTTATTGGCGAGGAAACCCTTGCCATTTTGGGATTCCTGATTTTGAGGCCATCCCCAAAAGCGGCGTTTTGCGGGAAACGTTGGCCGACAAAAAGAAGCTGGTTGCGTGTTGGGTGCGTCCTTCAACACCCAAAGAGGAGTTCAAAACCTGAGTGGGGGTGGCGCTCGGGCCGTGGCTCGACCAGGATGGCGGTGGCACTTTGGACAGGCCGGATTTCGGAGTTCGGCCGCCGGATTTCGACACCCAATGTTGGCTGAAAAGCCATTCTGAGACCATCCCCACCTCATTGTTGGCCCCTTTAGAATTCCGACGGGATATGTTTTTAAACAAGACTTCTCATTGCAAGCCGCACAGCGGCGGCCCATTTTCCGGGAAGGACGTGCAGCTCTTGGCAAAGCTTCCCAGGCTCACAGACTTGACGTAAGAGCTGCCATCGCTTGTTTCCAGTTTCGGGTGACTTTGCAGGTTGGAGTACGGATGTGGTTCTTTTGAGGGCACCCTTAAACTGGTTGGTTTGCTGGGAAACCGAAAGAACAGCTAGCGTTTGGTTACGAACATGGAACCCTCCCTTTTGAAGGGAAAATCACCTTCCAGGAGCCTCTGTGAGGTTACATGTTTGTGGATGGGGGGGGCATCTACCAGTGGGTCTCTTTGGAAGGAACATGGTCCAAACCAGGACCCTGTGAAGTTCCCCTTTGGATAGAGGGTTCCAGGGGTTGATTCCTTTTCCATTCTTTTCAACCATCGTTCTTTTCAAAAACCAGCCGTTTTCCCCTGGAAAGATTCGGATCCCTGGGTTAAGAATGGACATGGAAGGTATCCCTAGAAGGCTGGGCGTCTTTTCCTCCGCCGCCCTTCGGAGGCACGAGCTGCACCAGGTGTTCAAGACCTTGGTCCCAAAGATCCCGCCCTTGCTGGGCGCTTGGTGACCGGAAACCCGAACCGGAAACCCGGTTCGAACGGTTCGTGGCGCGTCGGTGCGAAGGCAGGGAAGACATTTTCGTTTCAAGAAGCTGGACACATCCGGACGCCGATTTTGAACCGGGCGTCTCAAAACAAACCAGATGTTTGATTCAAACCCTAAATCAACCCAGACAGGGGGGAATCTTTCTGGAGCGCCTGAGGCAGATCCATGACTACTGTAAGCACCTCAGCAGAGGTGCGGTGCGGGCCAAAAGCAGCTGCGGACGAGAAGTGACTTTTCATTGGTTGGTCCTTTGGAAACCTGTTCACAACAAGTGAGCCACTTGCTCAAAACTCCGTGTAGATGAAGGTTAGTAAGGGGCAGTAGTCCCAGCCAGAAGTTGCGGATAGCCGCCTTCTTATTTGGCTACATGGCTTTAGGTAGACCATTTTACTACCGGGTTTTGATCATGACTCAAGTTTGTATTTGGAAAAAAACTCATTTGGGTATGGACCTTAGTTAGGGACCCTTTGGTGGACATGTTTTAGCAGGGGATTCATGTCCACCAACCACATTGGAAGTGGTTTCCTCTGTAAAATCATCGCCATTTTCTTGGTCCACGTTCCCTTGCCAGGTCTCTTCTTTTTGGCCAACGCCCCCAACACGGCGAGCTTTGAAAACGGCCAGTGAGCTCACTGGGTCAGGAGAGCCCTCCTGCAAGCTCATCATTTTTGGACTTTGAAGCCACGTGGCTGTGGGTTAACACCAGTGGGATCCCATTTTGGTTGGTAGGTGAATTCACCCATTTTAGGCTTTATTTT